TGGTTCTGAACTCCATCTCCTCCATGACTTTGCTTTCCTCCATTTCTTTCATCTGTGACATGTTTCTTTGTCTTCGCATTTTTGGCTGACTGAGAGGACCCACTGTGTCTATAAGAAGAACTGCTGTGCTGGAGACACCCTTATGCGGTAGGACTTGCTTCAGTGGGGCTTCGGTGCTCACTGAGTCAGCTTCTTGAGGGTGTCTCTTATAGATGTGAGGAGTTGAAATCTAGTATCTGACCCAGAGTACCCTGGCTCCGGGATCTCCAAGTCAACCACTGTGTGGGTCCACCCAGCAGGGGCTATAGCAATATCAACAGATTTCTCCTCTTTGTTTGGAGTTTGGAAGTTTTGGAGCGCTCTGATTCACTGCAGTTTGTTAGGCTGCAGAAGCGCAGGTGCCTCCTTTATGCTGCTGAGCACAGCTTCGGAGGGGATGTAAATTGAGTGGGCGGGGTCTCAGAGAGTCCCCAGGGCGGAGCAAACAGCAATGGTGTCGTCAGCGACCCTGCGACTCCGACTCCTCAACTCCCCGATGCCCTGCGCCCCCACAGCAACAATGATCCCTGCGAGCAGCTCTGTGAGAAAGTCACCCTTGCTTTCCGACCTGCTGCAAGACAGTCCCCTGTCTCCCCATAGGAGCCTGGGACCCCAGCGTGTCGCCGTAAATGAGTTCAGTGCGTTTGAGAGCTTGTCCCCTTCCGATTGAAAAAAACCGCGCACCCAGGTGCAGCAGCCTTGCGCATGCCTCCGTACCTCTGTTCTTGGCGCCTCTCCCCACCTACTCGGTCTCAATGCACTTTTTTCTTTCCTTCTAGCTATAGAACTTCCACTTGGTCAGCTTTCCCGTGGTTCTGGATGATAGCTGTTTTGTCTTATAGTTGTGGTTTTAATGTTGTTGTGGGGGGCAGCACGTACAGGTTTGTACCTTATGCCGCCATCTTGGTTCCCCTCCGCTTCCTCATCTTTAAAACGAGGTAAGCATCTCTGTGCTCTGGGTTTGTTGGGGATTGAAAGACCCTGGTGGTGCCCACCCTGTGTGGCTCAGTGGTTGAGTGTCAACCCAAGAGGTCACCTGTTTGATTTACGGTCAGGGCACATGGCCGTAGTGTGGGCTCAATCCCCAGTAGGGGGTTTGCAGGAGGCAGCTGATCGATGTTTCTCTCTCATCAGTGTTTCTATCTCTCTCTCCCTCTCCCTTCCTCTCTCTATAAAATCAATAAAAATATTTTTAAAATCCCTGGTGGTGATGTCAGGATGTGTGTGGTTCTCCCACAAATGGAAGGACCAGTAGCTGCAGGAAAGGGGGAATCTTTGTAACCCAGCCAGTAGGACCTTTAGGGCACTTTCCCTAGCAGAGTCAAAGCTGGTGTTAATTAATTAAAGAGAGAAATTGCTTTTCTGTCCACTTCAGTTTTGTTTTATGCCCATCTCATATTGTTGTCTTGTCAGGGCCAGCCTGACAGGTTGAGCTGGGCTGAGATAGGGAGGTGGGAATTGAGAAGAGAAAGAAAGACAGGAGAGCGGGATCGGGAGGACTACAGGTCAATCTAGAGACTGCAATAAGTTTATTAACCACACAATGCTTTTTATACACAAAACACTGAATAGGAGGTCTGTCAAGAGGAATGTATTCTTTGTTCCTCTTAATCTCTAAGGGAGGGACAGAGCAGAAGGACACATTCTCAGTACAGCAAATCTCCGTAAATAGTTACAGACTTCTTGGTAAGCCATGAAAGGCTGTTCTCATTCTACAAAGGTTGCTCTCATTCTACTGATAACCGCCATCCAAACAAGTCTGGGAAAACTGTGTGGGTAAGGGTCCCAGCCTTGCTAGCTCCTTCAGGTGCAAGGACCATGTCAGCTTACACCCCGTCTCCAACATTGTCTGTGTTGTAATTCCTACTTTTTGATCCCATTTCCAATGTGTAAAATTGGTTATCTCGTAAATATCTTTTATGACGAATTCAATTATCATAAACTCTTGTGGTTGTTGAAAATAAAAGTATGGCCTTCGTAACACATCCATGAGCCATGGCTCCAGCAACCTTTCCCACCAATATTTTTGAAGACCTTTTATGCTCTCACAGGGCTCTGAGCCTCCTATGGGCGTAAGGCATGATCCTGCTCTCCAGGGACTGCAGTTGAATGCCTGTGAGAAAAACAAGCAAGTCAGAAGGTCAGCGCCGGAGGGTCCCTCGCTCTGCCTCTGCGTTCACAGCCAGCGGCCGTGCACGCTGTCAATCTCCTTTTGGGTTTCTCTCCTAGAATATTGTGCTGAGGAATGGGTCCGAGGCCTTCGACTCCTGGAAGCAGCCCCCTGTGCCTGTGTACATCCAGTTCTATTTCTTCAACGTCACCAACCCAGAGGAGATCCTCGGAGGGGAGATCCCGCGGTTGGAAGAAGTGGGGCCGTACACCTACAGGTGAGTCCCGGCGCCTCCCTGCTGTACTGGCAACACGGAGCACCCCCACCATGGCCCGAGTCCTCAGCTTTCCCCCAGTGACCTCTGGGTGCTGCGCGGGAGCTGGGCTTTGACCCCATCTGTGTGCCCCCATCTGAGTGAGCCGGCTTTGTGGCCTGGAGCTGTCCCAGCCTGTTACGTGTAAATGCAGCTGCCTCTTCCTGGGGTGGCAGCAGGAGGCTATTGAGCCCTGCAGTGCTGCTCCTCACCCCCCACCCTTTAAGTCACCATGTGATTGTCTTTGGTCACCCCTAGAGCCTTTTCCCTATTTCCCTCCCTGCTCGTAGACCAGTTCCTAAAATGCGTTCTGCAGAAAAGCCTACTAGTCTCCCACGCGCCCCTTTCCCCACCCTCCTGGGTCCGGGAGACAACAGTGGCAGTGTGGGTTAGAGTCTCTGGGGATTAGGAGAATTGCTTTAATGTGGTTTTTTTGTTTGTTTGTTTTAATATATTTTTTATTGATTTCAGTGAGAAAGGAAGAGAGAGAGAGAGAGAGAGAGAGAGAGAGAGAGAGAGAGAGAAAGAGAGAGAGACAGAGAGAAAGAGAGAGAGAGAGAGAAACAGAAACATCATTGATGAGAGAGAATCATTGATCGGCTGCCTCCTGCATGTCCCACACTGGGGTTGAGCTCACAACCCGGGCATGGGCCCTGACTGGGAATCAAACTGTGATCTCCTGGTTCATGGATCTACACTCAACCACTGAACCACATGGGCCAGGCTTTCATTGTTTTTTGTGTGTGTTTTTTTCCAAAAGTTAGTAGAGGGAGGCACTCGGGGGCCTTATGGCCAGAGCATTTTTCCTACTGCAGTATTCCTCCTCCCACAAGACAGTAGCCCCTCCCCGACCCCACAGTAATCGTTCCTGTAAAGTTCCTCCTTAACAAGTTTTAAAACAAAATAGTAGAGGGAAGTAGATGGCAAGATCTTTCTTCTTCTGCAAAATGGTAAAAATTCCTCACAATTCTGTCGTAATCGATTGCACAATAAATGTTTGTGACTGATTCACTAAGTCTGAATGAGTCAGTCGGATTCTCAAGTGCCGGAATTCACAGATGAAAATCTCTGAATTGCCTGTTTTGGATCCGGCCTCTGCCACTTACTAGTTCTCTGTGCCTGGGTTTCCTTATCTATAAAGTGGAGATAAAGCTGGACCTCCACTACAGGGTTGTTAGGGTTCCTTGGGGTAATGAGTCAGTATTTACAAAATGCTTAGACTAGTGCCAGCCCACAATCGGAGTTTGCTATTATTGTCTTGGTCTGTGTACGTCAATGTACAGACTTGTAAAGATGAGCTCTGTTGTTATATAAAACAATTTTTAAAAAATAGGTCTTCCTTTTACTTCTTTTTTTAAATCCTCACCTGAGGATATGTTTTTATTGATTTTTGAGAGAGAGAGAGAGAGAGAGAGAGAGAGAGAGAGAGAGAGGAGAGAGAAACATGGGTCTGTTGTCTCCAGAATGCAACCCAACCGGGGATCAAACTTGCAACCTAGATATGTGCCCTGACCAGAATCAAACCCGCAACCTTTTGGTGCACGGGAGGATGCTCCAACCAGCTGAGCACTCAGCCAGGGAACAGATCTTATTTTAAAAAGCATTTTTTAATGTGTTTTTTATGCCTCTGGTGTTTCTCCTGCCCTGGTCTCTGCCCTCCCCTCCCCTCCCCTTCTTTTCCTTTCCCTGGGTCCTAGTGACTCTCCCTGTGCCATGTCCCGGCCTGAGCATCTGGCTCCTTCTGTATATTTAGCCCGTTGATTCAATTTGATTTGATTATTTAATTTTAATTTATTTTTGGCACTTTCAACCTAGAATTTTCAGCTGTAACCAGAGCTACCCAAGAGAAATGTAACATGAGCCAAATATATCGTTTAACATCTTCTAGTGGCCACACTTATAAAAGTAAAAAGAGGTAGGAGAAATTAATTTTAATATTTTATTTACCCCAATACCACCCACCATAGTATCATTTCAACATGGAATCAATAGTCAGAATTATTACTACACAGTACATGCCTTTTTTCCTGGTAAGTCTTTGAAATCCCACGTGCATTTTATAGCAAACCTGGTTTTGAACTAGCCGCATTCAGGTGTGCAGCAGCCACGTGTGGCTTGTGGCCACCATATTGGGCACCGAGTTCTAGCCAGACTCCACTTACTTGTAAGGCCACGCTCCAGGCCAGTGTGCATTCTGTTCTCTCTGTCAGGAATGAACTCATCACTGCACCTCTCCACGCCGACGCAGCTTCTCCCTGCGACTTGCCCTGCCTTTGGATGCACTCTCCCTAGTGTGCGCCTATTAGACACAGACTAGGTGCATTTTAACCACGGTTTGCCTATCGTCTTTCTTCCCAATATACTGAAAGCTCCGTGAGGGGCAGGAACCAAGTCCTTTAACTGAACATCTAGTGTAGTGAACATTGGTGGAATACTGAATGAAACGCCCTCCTCCATGGTTTAAATCATAGGAAATACAAGAGGAGAAATTGTTTCAATCCATAGCACACAAACAGCTCATCTGGAACCACAGGACTGCGCCAGGGGAACCCAGGTGCCAAGGGTAGGTAGGTTCAGGAAAGGGCAGGTTTAAAAGGCTCCTGAAAATGACCCCCTTTCTTTGGGAACAGACGCTCACATGTTCAGTACAAACTACAGTGTTCCTACAGGTGTTGAGTGGGTTGTGAGACCGGGGATTTGTAGAAAAGTGTGGCTTTTTAGGGAGACTTACAGCCGCCCTGGCAGGCCTTTTACACTCAGCTAGTGCCGGGATATGGAACCTTTTTCCTGCCAAGGGCCACCAGGCCCAAACAAAATTATCAGCCTAAAGATTAGCCTGCTATATTTGGTCAAAGATCTAATTAGCTCACCCCTAATGCCTTGGCAGGACCAGGCCAAATGACCAAATGATTTCAGGGGCCTTATACAGCCCATGGGGCCAGACATTCCCCACCCCAGATCTAGTGGGTATGATTTTTCTTGCCCATGATCTAATTGTGCTATTGTTCAGCTAGATCACATGCAGAGTATTCCAGTGGCTCCTGCCCCAGTGTTTAATAGTTCCATGGTGTCCCTCCCGGCTGAGTCAGCTGACACTGTCCATTGCAGGGGTCCTCAAACTTTTTAAACAAGGGGCCAGTTCACTGTCCCTCAGACCATTGGAGGGCTGGACTATAGTTTAAAAAAAACTATGAACAAATTCCTATGCCCACTGCACATATCTTATTTTGAAGTAAAAAACCGAAACGAGAACAAATACAATATTTGTATTTGCATGTGGCCCGTGGGCCGTAGTTTGAGGACCCCTGGTCCATTGTGTGCAAAGAGTCCTGGGGCACAAAGAAGGGCAAGGTGCGCTGGCCCCTAACTGGGTAGTGCAGTGGTCAGCAAACCACGGCTCGTGAGCCACGTGGGGCTCTTTGGCCCCTTGAGCGCAGCTCTTCCACAAAATACCACGTGCGGCGTGCTCACATACAGTGCAATTGAAACTTCGTGGCCCATGTGCAGAAGTCGGTTTTCAGAAAGGAGATAGACAAGTATACAAGACAAGCGTGGATGGGAGAGTTGGAAGGGGTGGGCCTCAGCGAATGTACCTCAATCAGATTGAGGACGTTTTTAGCAAAGGCCAGTTTAGGAGTACCCTAATTAAGTTAATAACAATGTACCTACCTATATAGTTTAAGTTTAAAAAATTTGGCTCTCAAAAGAAATTTCAATCATCGTACTGTTGATATTTGGCTCTGTTGACTAATGAGTTTGCCGACCACTGGGGTAGTGGGTGGGCCCGGGGGGAGAGGGGGCAGTTTCTGAGAGAGGGAGAGCCACGCGGGCTGTGGGGGGACTAATTAATTTGACACACAATGTACAGTGGCATGCTTTACATATGGATGAGTTCAGAATATTAATGTTTTGCAAAAAGATTGTAGGACTTCCACATGTAGATAAAAACCAGTCAATCTGATTTAAGTAATGCAGTGCATAGTAAAGGTTTTTTTTAAAAAAATTTAATGAAAGTATAGTTGGCATACAATGTTAATTAGTTTCAGGTGTACAACATAGTGATTTGACATTCATATACCTTATGATCTTTTCATCACACTAAGTCTAGTTACCATCTATCACTGTGCAAAGTCATGAGAGTATTATTGACTATATTCCCTATATGATGTACATTACATTCTGTGCCTTATTTATCTTATAGCTGGAATTTTGTACCTCTTCTTCCACGTCAACTTTTTTACCTGTCCCCCACTCCCACCCCTCTGACAGCCATCAATGTGTTATCTGTTTCTATAAGTCTGTTTCTGTTTGTTTACTTGTTTTGTTTTTTCAGATCCCACATGCAAGTGAAATCATATGGTATTTGTCTTTTTCTGTTTGACATATTTCACTTAGCTTAATACCTCCTAGGTCCGTCCATGTTGTCACAAATGGAAAGATTTCATTCTTTTTATGGCTAACTAGTATTCCATTGTATATATGTACCACTACTTCTTTTTTTAAGATATTTTTATTGATTTCAGAGAGGAAGGGAGAGGGATGGCAACATCAATGATGACAGAGAATCACTGATCAGCTGCCTCCTGCATGTCCCTCACAGGGGATTGAGCCCGCAACCCAGGCATATGCCCTTGACTGGAATTGAACCTGGAACCCTTCAGTCCGCAGGCCAACACTCCACCCACTGAGCCAAACCAGCTAGGGCATGTACCACTACTTCTTTATCCATTCATTTACCAAGGGACAATTAGGTTACTTCCAAATCTTGGCTATTGTAAATAACTAGAGGCCCAATGCACAAAATTCAAGCACTGAGGGTGGTGTGGGGGGGTCCGGCCTGCGCCCTCTCACAGTCCAGGAGCCCTTGGGGGATGTCTGACCGACAGCTTAGTACTGCTGCTGTGTTTGCCAGCCATGAGCCCAGCTTCTAGCTGAGTGGCGCTCCCCCTGTGGAAGCATACTGA